AACTGCTTGTTTTCTTTAAAAAAAACTAACACTTGCTTTTCTATTCTTTTTGTATTCTATTTATTTGTTTTTCTTTTTATTTATTATATAATAAAAAAAAACTTGCTACGTGTACTGTGTTAAGCTAACTGGGGCTTGTTATAGCACTTGCATATCATTGCTCTTTTGGTAGTTTTGATTGCTTCTATCGTCCTCATTTGTAATTCGCTTTGGATAAAAGCATCTGCTAAATGACTGAATGTAATGTAAATCTCAATTAGAGGAAACTGCCACTCGTGACTGGTTCAGTGCTGCAGCGTCACGCGTGATGTTCAGCGCAGATGCGTGAGCTCAGTGTGATCGGGACGCGTCTCGCGCAGCTTCACTTCAGCAGGCCGCTGGAAGATCCTCAACTTTACAGCTTCTTCAAACTCGGCCGTCCCCGGTCAGCTCGATCATTAACAGCTGAGCTGATGATCGCAGGGGGTTTCCAGCATCTGACTGCAGTCCTTCTGAAACCGAAAGAGCCTGACGCCATTTGCATTAAACACATTAAAGCTTTATTTAGACCAAAACACACGGAGATGACTTCATCCGGGGAACTTATTCTGAGCTCATACGATGTCATGACGAAATACAGCCGGTGCTATTGTCATACAGATGTTTTTTAAAATATATTAATTCGTTTTATTTTCTATTTTAAGATAAAGTTTTAACAATTCTGTTTCTATTTTTATTAGCCTTTTTAAAAAATGTCTATATTGTCGCTTTATTTATAATTTTATTTCTTTGTTACGATTTAGCAATTTTATTATGTCAAGTTAAACAGGAAAATTTTAAATGAAAATTACATTATATTATTTATTCTATTTCAGTTAATTAGTTCATTAGATTTTGGTAAATTAAAAGTTAAAGTGAATAAAAGTTAGTTTAGTTGACTATTTTAACTAGTTTACTATAATAACCCTGCTCACAGCAAACAAAATCACAGATAGACTGCTTCAGTGTCATTATATACAGATTATAAAGCAGTTTAATCACTTTAACTTAAAATTAGCACGCATAACTACCATTTTCGTTGTACCAGTTTTTATTTAAATTAAAAAAAAATTTTTTTTTTAAGTCTACAGTTTTTATTAATTTTTATTTCAGTTTTATATATAAATAAAACGTCTTTTATTTTAAGCAACACTAACTATAATGCCAATGAACTATAATAACCCTCCTACAGTAAGAGCAACTGAATATCATTATTATTAGTTTAATGATAGTTTAATCACTTCAGTTTAAAATGCATGCACGACTATCGGTAGATATTTCATAATGCTAATATTTTATTCTATCTGACAATTATATATATATGTATAATGCAGAATGTATAATGCAATCATTATCATTATAGTTGTGGTGTGACTTCAGTGTTCTCATAGAGTCAGAGTAATTATGATCAGCTGTAGAGTAATGGTTCTGGTTTGTGTGAATGTATCACGTGGATGAGAGGATCAAAGCCTCGCTCCGCCCGACCGAACACACGCATTACACAACACTCCAATTACTTCAGCTGCTGGGAAAACTAATGAGTTTAATGAGCTGTTACATAAACCACGCTTTTCTGAGAAAATGAAACGACGTGAGGAGAGAGAAATCATCAGCAGGAGCTCCACACATTACACTTCAGATACACAAGACATTTCTTCATATGGCCATAAAAATTGTTGTTGTTGTTGTACATGTATCTGTAACGTGTATTTGTTAAGCTTTTAATAAACTGTTGTTGAATTCATTAAGGAGACATTAATTAAACCATTCAAAAAAATTCAAAACCGAAACACAAAATTTGATTTGGCAAAAAAAATCTAACAAAAATGAAATGCATTTCAAAGGGTTTTTGTTACATTTTGAATGAATTGTTGTTAAATTGTTTAAGCCCAGCATGCTTTCAATTAATTGGACATGCTTTTTGTTCATTCAAATTTAATTAGACCATTATAATGAAACCCAGAAAAATTAAAATCAAAATGTTGTTAAACTTTGAATTGCTGTTAAATCGTATAAGTTTCATGATTTCAATTAATTAGACATGCTTTGTGATTATGAATTAATCTTTTTAAATTAATTATTAATCCATTCAAATATCCAGAAAATGTAAACTGAAAACAGAATTTGTAAAAACAAAACAAACAAAAAAACATGTAATTTGAGGAAAAATAAAATGCATTTTAAAAGGTGCAGTAAAAAAAAAAAAATTTGTAAAATAACTTTTAGTAAAATAAAAGAGCCTTGAATTGAAGTGATATGCATTTGATCAGAACCTGATCTGAATAAAGACACTATTGTGTTCTGTAGAGCTCTACAGCCGAGAATAAATGTGCTTTCCTTGAGAAAGAGAAACGACACGGACCAGATGTAGATTCAGTCCCAGAGGAGCTCGATCCGTAAGGACAGCAGGAAAGTCCCAGCGTCCCCTGCTCTGCCCACTTCAGAGGAGCGGAATCCACCCAGAAACACACACACACACACTCTCACACGCACTCACACGCGGTCACACACACACACACACACACACTCACACTCTCACACACACACACACACACACACACACACACCCCTGTGGCCATGCCCGTCCTCAGCCCCGCCCCAACTCACCTGTGCAAACACACACACAATCACAGCACACAACAGAGCTTTGTAGTAAAGTTTATGAGTTAAAATGCATCCAGCACAAACGAGACTTAAACGAGACACATGAGCGAGGGCACAAACGCTATTTACACCAATCAGAGAGCAGAACACAAGCGGAAGCGGAGTCACAAAATGTCCTGATGAAGCAGCGCTCATCATCATCATCATCTGGAAGGGTCCAGTCCATCAGCTCTAATTAAAACTATAAATTAAAGGGACAGTGCACCTAAAAATGATCACTCTGTCATCAGTCAATCACCATGAGGTTGTTCCAAACCTGTGTGAATATTTTGAAGAATGTTGGTAAACAAATAGTTGCTGGTAGTCATTGACTTCCATTGTATTTTTTCCATACTATGAAAGTCAATGGTTACCGTCAACTATTCTTCAAAATATCTATTCAGATTTTTTACAGAAGTTATATTATAGGGCCCTGTGAAATATCTTGTATGAATGGTTAAACACAACAGAAGATTTTTTTGGTTACCATTGACTTCCATTGTATTTTTTCCCTACTATGAAAGTCAATGGCTACCGTCAACTGTTTGGTTACACACATTCTTCAAAATATATATATTTTTAAACACAAATGACATTTTAGGCCCTATGAAATATCTTCTGTTGTCTTCAACAATTTATATATCTATTAAGAATGTTGGTAACCAAATAGTTGCTGGTAGCCATTGATTTTCATAGTATTTTTCCCTAGTACGGAAGTCAATGGCTACCATCAATTATTTGGTTACTAACATTCTTCGAAAAATACATTCAGATTTTTAACAGAAATTATATTCTAGGGCCCTGTGAAATACCTTGTATCAGTTGTTAAACACATCAGAAGATATTTTGGTCCCCACTGACTTTCGATAGTATTTTTTTCCTTACTATGAAAGTCAATGGCTACCGTCAACTGTTTGGTTACATACACATATTGTTCAAAGTATATATTTATGTGCTTTCTTTTTAATGTGCCCTATAAAATAGCTTCTGTTGTCTTCAACAATTCAGATATATTTTAAGAATGCTGGAAAACAAACAGTTGCTGGTAGCCATTGACTTCCATAGTATTTTTCCCTATTATAGAAGTCAATGGCTACCGTCAACTAACATCCTTCAAAATATCTATTCAGATTTTTAACAGAAATTATATTTCAGGGCTCTGTGAAACATCTTGTATAAATTCTCAAACACAACAGAACATTTTTTTTTTGGTCCCCATTGACTTCCATAGTGTTTTTTTCCTTACTATGAAAGTCAATGGCTACCGTCAACTGTTTGGTTACACACATTCTTCAAAATATTGTTTTTTTTTGTGAATGTTATGGCCCTATGAAATATTTTCTGTTGTGTTCAACAATTCAGATAGATTTTAAAAATGTTGATAACCAAATATTTGCTGGTACCCACTGACTTCCATAGTATTTTTCCCTAGTATGGAACTCAATGGCTCAATTTATTGATCAACATTCTTCTAAATATCTTCTTTTGTGTTGTGTACAGAAGAAAGAAACTCATGCAGGTTTGATCAACTTGAAGGCGAGTAAATGAAGACAGAATGACTATTTTTGGGTGAACTGTCCCTTTAAGTAGAAATCAAAACAAACATTCCTATCGTTCCGTCAGGAATTGTATTCTCCATAAAGTAAGGTCTCTACAGCACAAACTCACTGCATGATTCACTATACAGCCGTGATGAAGCACAAACAGAAGGTCTTTCTCCTCTGAACAAATCAAATCCGCACGCTTCACTGTGATTGGTCGGCCGTGGGGCTAGCCGCCGCCCCCTCGTCGTTGCTGCTGTCCACTTCCTGTTCCATGGCAGCTTCCTCGTCCAGACGCTGGCTGGTGAAGTCGGAGATCTCCAGGAAGCCGCTGGGCTCCACCACCACGTTTGATTGGCTGGAGTCGGGCATGATGGAGTACTGCGGGATCACCTGACCACAAACACACATCACATGACCTCAGCAACATCAATACAGCCACAACATGGAATGTACAGTGTAGGGTACTTATTATTTTCCTCTAAACCACTAGATGGCACAAAAACGTGGCGTGGCACTTTCCAAAACATTCTCTTTTCAAGATGCACGTGCAAATTCTGTGCTTACTTGATCTAATATTTGATGTTTTTTAAAATGTTGCAGATTTAAGTAGCAAATGAGAATCGCTAAAATTAATGCATATATTTTGAGACAAAGGTCTTCTTAAAGATTTTCAGTTTTAAGATAAAGCAACAGTTTTTAAATAACGAAGGAATATGTAAAAGTACACTGCAATAAATGATTCTCTTACTTAGTATTTTTGTCTTGTTTTCTAGTATAAATATCTAAACATTCTAGAAAACAAGACAGAAATACTAAGTAAGAGAATCATGTTTTTGCAGTGTATGGCATTTGGGGTAAAAAGCGCTGTTGGGGCTAAAGGCACAGTAATTAACATGATAATTAATAGATGGCTGACTTTTCCATTTGTTGACAACATGGTTAGATTCAGATGATAAATATCATATATTATGTTGGGTGTCCATATAAGAGATAATCACCATGTTTAGAATGAAACCATCATTTAAAAACATCATATTAATCATATCATATAATAAAATAGCGTTTGTTGTTACTTCTGTAAATCCATATTAATTTATTATGGGATCTCCTTCAATGCTTTCAGAATCTTTACTTTTTAAAATGATTTTGTTTCTGTATTTAAAAATGTATATTTTTTATATTAACATATTTTAATGACAGTATATTTATTGAACAAAAAATTATTTAATTTTTCAAAATAAGGAGGAAATAGTACAAACTTTGCTAAAGTGATTGTTTTGAACAAATATTAACTTAGACATTATTGTTTGTGTGTGTGTCTGTGTGTGTGTCTGAGTGAGTGTGTGTGTCTGTGTGTGTGTCTGAGTGAGTGTGTGTGTCTGTGTGTGTGTCTGAGTGAGTGTGTGTGTCTGTGTGTGTGTCTGAGTGAGTGTGTGTGTCTGTGTGTGTGAGAGTGTGTGTGTGTGTGTGTGTGTGTCTGTGTGTGAGTGTGTGTGCTTGTCTGTGTGTGTGAGTGAGTGTGTGTGTCTGTGTGTGTGTCTGAGTGAGTGTGTGTGTCTGTGTGTGTGTCTGTGTCTGTGTGAGTGTGTTATGTGTGTGAGAGAGTGTGTGTGAGTGTGTGTGTGTGTGTGTGTGT